TCTTCTTGTGACTGTGTTATTTGACAACTGTAAGTCTTGTATTGCTGAGACAATCTCACGTTTGTTAGAAAATCCATCAAACAAACAATCGGCACCAGTCAAAAATAGTTCCTTAAACAACTCACCATCAATGAAAGGTTTCTTCTTTTTTGCGAGCATGTGAGATATTTTGAAAGAAGCAATAGTGGCCTTTTTAGAATTTTCCACATGTCTAGTGAAAACAGTCTGTTGTGCTGTTAGACTTGATTTTAGATTACACATTTTTTTCTTTCTTACTTCAGATTTAAGAGGATAATTCACATTAAAAGTGCCATGATTTGTCTGAAAGTGTCGTTCAACGTTATGTTTTTTCGGCACTGCAATGCTACTACCACACAACAAACAAACGCATTTATTTTTCAAATTAACGAAACAATATGATTCCTCCCAGTCAGTGTTAAAATTATAGGTTCGTTGTCTTTTACTTGGTCCACTCATTTTAGGGCTAAAATAAATAATAAAAAAAATAATAATTGAACTACAATATAATATCAATGTTATAGCGCAAGTCTGTTCTGCATTATATGCATAAATATATTAATAACAAGAACTATAACTATCTCCTCAATAATAATAGTTTATTAATAGATCATCGCTTATGAATACAATAAATTACGCACCTCGCTTTTAGCCTGTTAATTTTTTTTTATATAGAAAACTCCTAATTCGTGTTTCGTCTGACGAACATGTCTCTTATCTAACTGTCGCGACCCGAACAGGGCAGCAATCACAATGACAACAACGCGGTTCCAGGCGGGGAATGCTTTTTGCGCATCACTCCATGTACACGCGGAAAACCCGAAGTGAGCCGATGATCGCCGAAGCAATCACAGTTATGTGCCTTGTGATTTGGCGCCTTCGGCGTTTATCGGATCAGTTCGTGGCGTTCGTTCCATTCGTTCACTTCGGGTTTTCTGCGTGTACAAGGTGTGATGTGCAAATGGCACTAGCCGTTCCAGGCTAGCGTAAATAGTGCAGTCTGGCTCGCCGCTAGACAAGTTGGGACAAGTATCGAACATATTTAATAAACCTAGGCAGTACAAAAAAAAATTAAAACTCTAACAAATGAATAAAAATAAATCATATTTTAAAATAATGTTTATGAAAAAAATTCTGTCTCTGTCGAATAGTGAGAGGCGGGCACATACGAATCGTTCCGCGGGCGCCATGGCGCCCGCGGGCACAGGGTTGGGAACCTCTGAGTTAAAGGCTTAACTTTAACATAGTGGCAGTGGCTTCTTTTGTTCTATATCAGTAATATCAAAAATGATTATCATTTATTAAAGAAAGTCTTTACATACTTTCCATTAATAAAAAGTGGTTGGTTTAAATTAAAACAAAATCAGTTAACCCACCTGTGGCTGCAAGGCTTTCCCTGATTCTCCTGACACGGTTTTCTGTCACATCAAATATAGATATAAATCCTTTGACACACACATCAATTCGAGTGCATCTACCATCTCTAACAATATTCATATGGTATTTATAAGAATGGTTGTGAAATTCTGCCTCTGTTGGCTCTTCCTTTCTGCTACGGCGACGCTGAACTGAATGAACTGAAATGAGCGAGGCAAGGAATGCATCCTGCTCATCTTTTGTTTTCAACGAATTGAAATGGGAAATCATCTTTGACCTGTCATCTTCGGTAGTAATCTGGAAGCATTTTAGCACCTTACAGTTACAAGGTGGCCCTGTAACATGATTTCTTAACTTCTCATCTCGAGAAAACTCTCTTTTTCGTCCAGTAACTTGTTTTTTCTTCGGCTTATCTGTGACGATCGGTTTATCTACAACATCCGCCATGTTTGTTGTTTGCAATGTTGCTAGCCGGTCACGTGACTTTTCTCTAGATTCTCATTGGTTTGTACCAAAATAACTTGGACAGCTGTGACTTTTCCTTTGTAAACATTGGACATCGGTTGTTATTCCATTGTAGCCTATTTTTAAATACCTCAATAACGGGTGACTACGGTGGGTTTTCGCTTGTATATTTTCAGAGGTCATAGTTAAGCACCAGTACTCGATGAAAGGGACACAAACGCGAAAATGTGTAAAATTGGACAACTGTGGTTTTTCCCCTGTAGTCTTCATTTAGTTATTTGTGAGATTTTGAACTGTATGTCTGCGTTTTGTTTAAAAAGCCTGGATTTTTATTTTCTTCATGCGTGTTTTGTGTTGACTCATATCTTATGACGCGCTTAGTCAGATGCTTACTTTGCTTAATTGTGAATCCATGGGCTGCTTTGGGATAGGGCCGTCTTTACAGCAGCGTGGGGGGGGGGCAGGCAAAGCAATGCACTGAGGCCCCCTAAGAGGCGTGAGTTTCCCTATCGCCGTGAGGCTTCCCAGAGCCACGAGGCGCTGGTCAAGTGCCCAGGGTACCCATGCCGTAAGACGACACTGCTTTTGGGACACATTTATCACTGCCATGACTGGTGTTATTAGACAACACACAGCGTTACCTAGACTGATGACGTGGCTTGTGCTAAGGTCCAATAAATTGGTGATAAGATTACGGGCCGGTGATTGCCGACTTGATCGCTTATTCAATCAGGGTTCTCAAAATCTCAACCAGACCCGTGTAGTGCGTTTTCCGAAACGGGGTTGTCGAAATATGGCTTTAACTGTGCACCGTGCCTAGAGCTGCCTAAACACAAGCCAAGAGTTCCTTTAAAATGAACCACGTACCGGTCCATGCTAGATACCAACTATTTTACTGTTTGATACCGACCATCTGCCTTTTGATACCAACCATCTACCTGTTTGATACCAACCATCTGCCTGTTTGATACCAACCATCTGCCTGTTTGATACCGACCATCTGCCTGTTTGATACCAACCATCTGCCTGTTTGATACCAACCATCTGCCTGTTTGATACCGACCATCTTCCTGTTTGAACCAACCACCTGCCTGTTTGATACCAACCATCTGCCTGTTTCATACCAACCATCTGCCTGTTTGATACCAACAGCCTGCCTGTTTGATACCAACAACCTGCCTGTTTGATACCGACCATCTTCCTGTTTGATACTAACCATCTGCCTGTTTGATACCAACCGTCTACCTGTTTGATACCGACCATCTACCTGTTTGATACCGACCATCTTCCTGTTCGATACCAACCATTTGCCTGTTTGATACAAACCATGAACTGTATGACTCAGTTCACGGACATTTATGATACAAGTAACAAAGTTTTACAAAACAATTACCTTAATCAAACTTCATAATATCACCTGAAGCTATCTGTCTCGCCACTACTTTGTGATAACCTCAAACAATGTCAAGCTTTTGAACAATTAATCCCGAAGATTTTCTACTGAGTATGGCTAAATCTGACATCCACCAAGAGATTACTTCCACCTGAAAAGTCTAGAATAAATATCGAACAACTTAAACTTGAGTGTCACAGTTCCGTCAAATTAAAGACTGAACAAGTCACTCACGCCAATAACATCCACAAGACCAGTCCATTTACCATCAGTAAATCCCTTCCAATAACAAAATATAATTTCTCTCCCAAATTCACCCCCCCCCCCAACCAAGCTCTTCCATTAAGGAGTTTTCATCGCCTCTGTCATCCATTTAATTACTTGAACTCAACTAACACATTTTTTACGTGAAATTTGCTCTACAAAACATATACATATACATGATATATATATACCAGCATATATACTCCTGTAATTTGTTTCTGTTAAAGAGAGATAACATAATGTTTAAGACCATTATCTTTGAGATAGAGTTATCTTCATTGAGCTTGGAGAGTCCTCCGCTAACGGAGATGGTTACGCCAAAGGACGTGCTGGCCCCGCCCCCCCCCCCCTCCAACTCTTGGACGAAATCATATTAGCATCTATCCAATAAAAAGATTTGATATGTTTCAGTGGGTCTATGATAATACCCTTGATTCAGCTGGGTGGGTGAAGGGCTAAAGGCAGATAGCGCCATCTGTCAGTTGAACGTTGTGACTGTCATTGGGGTTAGAGTGAAGACTATCATTACATTAACTATATTGCTTCGTGACAGGTGCCAACAGTACTATGCAGTTATCCGACTGGCATTAGAGTAAGTAACAGGTGTCAAATTACTTAAGCTAGTATCGTTAGTGACAGATGTCTCATGTACAAGTGATATATATCAATTTCTGACTGACATTCTAGCCATCGAATTTCCCCCGATTCTGGCCCGAGACTCAACGTTCAAAAGATAAAAGATTAAATCCCATCACTTTCATCTCTTGTAATATATCCGTATAGCACAGCGGTTTTCCACATGTGGGTCGCGACCCCTTTGGGCGTCAAACGATCCTTTCATAGGGTTCGCCTGAGACCACCGGAAAACACACACTCTACAGTTGCGAAGTAGCAACGAAAAAGATTTTGTGGTTGGGGAGGTCGCCACAACATGAGGAACTGTGTCAAAGTAAAAGTCGCGGCATTAGGAAGGTTGAGAACCACTACTATAGCCGTTAAAGGTCGGGTAAATACATGGCTAATTTGTAACCCAAGTCAACAGAAACTTTAACTGGCTGGGTTGTGAATTCCTTTAGTGATCTAATAATATTCAACTGGTTGGAAATCTAAAGCCGCCCCCCGCCCCCACTACCGGGGCACCCCCAATATCTAAAAGTGGTAGCATTCGTGGCCTCACCTATTCTCATGGTCACAATTAAACAAGCAAACAAACAAGTTGAAAATAGTCAAATTTATTCTAAAAAGAAATATCAAATAATATGTGGATCCCTCCCTGAATGATGACCGTAGGAAACAAAGGGAGACAAATGACGTCCTACACAATATCAGATTTACTTCACGGCTTTTCTCCCTTCGCGAGCCGAGAGTTGATATGGGCGACAACGCCCGGGAGCTCCTCGATGGTGTCGATGACATAGTGAGCCCCAGCCTTGGCCAGCAGGTCACGCGACCGCTCCAAGCGAAGCTGGAGTTCGCCCGCCGACATGCGCTGCTCCTCTTCCAGGCTGTTGATGTTCATGTTGTTGCTGTACCGGGCCAGCCCCACACCCCAGCACCCGGCCGCCAGGGCTTCCTCCACCCCGGTCATGGTGTCGTCCACCTTGACCACGGACTGGATATTGGGGACGTCCAGCATGTCCAGATTCTTGTACAGCATGAAAGGTTTGGGGCGCGTGCCGTGGATCACGTCATCCCCGGCCACGTTGGCATCGGGTTCGAACCCCTGCCTCTTGGCCTCCGGCAGAAGCACGTCGACCATGCTTCGGGTGAACCCGGTCGTGACGCCGATCTTCAAACCCAATTCATTTCTCAGCACCTTCACGGTCTCGGCGGTTCCGGGGATCAGATCGGAATACTGGAGCAAGACGCCCAGCTGCATGGGCACCAGGTCCTTGTACAGCGCGTCCACGTCTCTCTGGTCTGGATACCTCCCGTGGACGTCCTTCCATCTCTGGCGGACCTCGGGCAGCTCCGTGATGGCCTTGATGTGGAGGTCTTTCCTTATGCCCATGGGGACCCTGGCCTCGGCCATCGAGATGGTCAGCTTGTGTTTCTTGAAGGTCTCCACGAACACGATGGCGGGGGCCAGAACGAACTTGTCTATCGTGGTGCCACTCCAGTCCAGGATGCAGGCTTTGACGGGTCCCACGTAGGAACGACTGTGTTTAAACACAAGCGACATTCTAGTCGAAATATGAAACAGGAGTCTATTTTGAAGGAGAACACACACAAAATCTGAAAAATAAAATATAACACTATTAGTTGTTTCTCATCCAGTGGCAAGTTTTAAACGGCACGTAAAAAAAAAATATTTAAAAAAGTTTTACAGATTATATCTCAGTGTACAACACACAATGTAACATACAGCATAAAACATTCAGTGCATCGTTAATGCTAAATACTTGAAATAAGTAGGCTACTATGGGGGAGAGACTGCAATGAGGTTTTGAAAAATGGAGAGGAACAAAACAAAGTATGTTTAAAAACTAGAAGAAGAAAAAAGAAGCTATAAAACAGCGAACGTGTCGGCAAGAAGCCTTGAGAGGACAACAGGAAAGAGTAGATTTTCCCCATTGCTGTCCTCTCGGATACTTCATTACAGCTAAAGGGATAGTTTTCTTTAAATTCTTTTCGAACTGTTGTTTGATGATGATGATGAAGGCTTCTTGCCGACACGTTCGTTGTTTCGTCTACGTCCAGTTAACCAACATATATCCAGGCCAGGCATCGACTTCTGGACCTCAATGCCAGATGTTGGGGTAGAACTTAACACACACATTTGGCAAGCCCGATATTATTATACTTAGACCAAATCATTTCAGCATGAGTCAAGCGTAGCGAAGCAGCTGTGTTAATATTAAAACCAAAAGTCCATGTACTCAGGTAAACTGGTCATTGTGGGTCGAAAGCTGATTTTTATAATAGTCGATTTGCATCCTAATTCAACTCACAAGGGTTGGCCAAATGTTGCAAGTTGTAACACAATCCACATTCTGTTATAGTGGGTGATTGTTGGCCTAATGTTGCAGGTTGTAACACAATCTACATTCTATTTTAGTCCGTAATTGTTGGACTAACTTTGCAAGTTGCAACACATTCTATACTAAAGTTGAGAAAGAACAAACGAACAACCTACCTCTGCCGTCAGTTGACCATCAAATGAGTGAGTTCCTTGCGTCCGTGAGACTGGTCAATTTGAGGCTCCCCCCCCCCTCCACCCAGACCCCTTTCCGGCCCCCCCATTCTCCTCTCAACACGCTGTGTTATTGCACAACTGTTCAAACATCAAGTCAAATCACGTGCTCTTTAATCAACACNTTTGCCACCGAATTTGCTATTGGGGGGGGGGGGGTTACTGTTAGTTTGACCATACGGCCGTGACATTGGGCCCGGGGGTGGGGGGGTAGTGGTGGTGATTACACAAGCCCACAACCTGAACGTTGAACGTGACCACGTGGTACTACTGTCCCAGATTTTTCAGATTCTTGGAAGAAAATCATAAGAAAAAGTCACAGGAAAACAAAATGTACAGAAAAAATTCACTTAAAAAAGGTCAGAGAAAATGGTCACACGATATTGGTTTGATGTGATTGTTTATGTCATTCTATTTGTAAATCCATATATATTTTAATTGACTAAAACAGGAAATATAACTTAGCGGCAGCTCATTCCGATGGGGGATTAAATATGTGTTTGTTATTTTTTACAGAGTCAACACGTTGTAATTGACACATTTAATCATATGATTTATTCATAATCAGTTATGCCAAAAGTCGATAAACACGTAGATGTATGAGTAATTTTGACTTCACTGTCCTCATTGTAGTCAAGTTATATTTCTAGTTTGACTGGAAGTCTGTCCCAAAATGGTGAGCCTTTTCTCAGAGGCGTAGCGTGGTGGGGGCAGGGGGGCAGATGTCCCCGGGCGCCAGCTAGTTAGGGGCGCCAAAATGTGCTTTGATATTATTTTATTGATGAAAATAATGGGTTTGAGAGGTGAAAAAAAGAAAAAGGGGCGCTAGAAATGGATCTTGTCCCCGGGCGCGAATCTTGTCCCCGGGCGCCAAACACCCTCGCTACGCCACTGCCTTTTCTTGCTGCATGTACACCTATACATATAGATATCTGTTTATCGGTACAACCACTTGATACAGTCGAACTAGAAACAAACACACACCTTGATTGAAATACTGAAACGTGTGCATTGAGTTTTCCAAATGTCAACCATAATTTTATTCACCAATACCAAAATAAACAACAAGAAAAACAACAAATAATATATTTTTTAAAAACAAAAAAAACCAACATTCAAATAGTGGTCATTACAATATGAACATTATCGTCATTATACTTGTATTAATTATTCTTGACTTTAAAAAAACAACAAAAACCAGCAAAGCATTTCCGATTTTGATTTCACTATTTTAATAAATTAATGGAATTTTCAGAAATGTTTAATAGTCTTGTACTGACTAAAAAAATAAAAATTTCTTCCTGATGTGAAGCCCCTTTGGCTTCATAAACATAAAATGGGATTGCGTGATAATATAATCATGGCATTATGTGTTTTTATAATCATGGTCTCAAGTGATCATATAAGCACGGTATTCTGTGATAATCACATAATCACATAATGTCATGATTATATAATCATAATGTCATGATTATATAATCATGACATTTTGTGATTATATAAGCATGGTATTGCGTGATTATATAACAATGACTTTATGTGATCATATAATCATGTCATTAGGGGATTATGTATTCAAGTCATTATGTTATCATACAATCATGCTATTAGGTGAGATTATATAATCATGGAATTACGTATAATGAATAAACCACGCAGGATGATAAGACAATGAAAGTCACTGGTTGGAGGTTTAATTGATAAGACAAAGTAGTAAATAATGACACTATTCTCTAGTTCTCAAATCAAAGCTTTGTCTGTTTTTAGATATAGCCTGACCAGTGGTCAGTTTCTCCCATTTATCGTCTTCTACAAACTTGGCCTCTAGTCCTGACCGACCTTTATCAATGGACGTTTGCGTCAGGGTCAAACTTTTTTCGGAATATTCCAGAGCAAAACTCACTCCTCTGTAGTCGAGGCCGGTGAACTTGACCCGACTCGTGCCAGGGAGTAAAATGGGGTTAAAGGTCAACCTGTCGTCGTGTATCCTGCACCCGCCGTAGCCAAACATCACCATCTGGAGGTATCCGCCCATGCCGGTCAGGAAGTTGGTGGCGCCATCGCCATCGGCGTATTCAGACCAGACCTGTAGATGGACGGCACTAGTAAACATCTGCTAGTCAGTGGTGGTCAGGGGTCAGTGTTGGTCAGTGCTGGTCAGGTGTCAGGCTTGGTCGGATGTCGGGGTTTGTCAGATGTTAGGGTTGGTCAGATGTCAGGGGTGGTCAGATGTCAGGGGTGGTCAGATGTCAGTGTTGGTCAGATGTCAGTGTTGGTCAGATGGCAGGGTTGGTTAGATGTCAGTGTTGGTCAGATGTCAGTGATTGGCCAGAGTTCAGGGTTGGTCAGATGTTAGTGCTGCTTAGATGTCAATGTTGGTCAGATGTCAGTGGTGGTCAGATATCCGTATTGGTCAGATATCAGTGTTGGTCAGATGTGATTGTTGGCCAGATGTCAGTGTTTGTCAGATCTCATAGTGCTTTTTAGCTGTCAGGTTATGGTTAGATGTCATTGCTGGCCAGATGTCATTGCTGGTCAGATATCAGTGTTTTTTCAGATGTCAGTGTTGGTCAGATATCAGTACGAGACAGACGTCATTCCTATGAAAGCTATTATTTTGAGTAACGTAGTTACATCATATCAACCTCGACAGAGAATCCAGCATACTAAAAAAAAATAAAAAAATTTCCTAGCCCCTGCCAATGGATAGAGTTTCCCAGCACTGTTCCAATGGATATTGCTTCCTCGCACCCTGCCATTGGATACAGTTTCCTAGCACACAGCCAATGGATAATTTTTCTAGCACACATCCAAATTGATAGTTTCCTAACACCCTGCCAATGGATAGCATATCCTAGCATCAAGCCAGTGGATACAGTTTCATAGCACACAGCCAATGAATAGTTTCCTAGCACCGTCCCAATCCTGGCACCCTCCCAATGAATAGTTTCCTAGCACCCTCCCAATCCTAGCACCCTCCCAATGGGTAGTTTCCTAGTACCCTACCATTGGATACAGTTTCATAGGAAAAACAGCCAATGGATAGTTTCCTAGCACCCTGCCAATGGATAGCATATCCTAAGCATCAAGCCAGTGGCATAATATCCCAGCATCCTGCCAATGGGTGTAATACCCTTAAACCTTTCAGCATCATGCCAAGGACCAATGGATATGATATCATTTCATGATACTAGATTACAAAATGTCCTAGCATCATGTCAATGGATATTTATCATTTCATGCTATGCTAGATGACATAATGTCCATGTACACCACCTTGTCAAACTCACCAAAAATGGTTCTTGCGCGTTGATCACTGTTCTGTTGAATAGCTCCTCGGCTTTGGTCTCATTGCCCAGTTCTAGCCAACCGAGGAGGAACATGCCCCATGACATTGCGGGGCTGGACCTGATGGGCGTGGTCTAACCGTAAGATAAATATAAATATATTCATTAACATGGCAATGTATTACCACATAATCTTTTACAAGAATAGCAGCCCCCCCCCCTTTTCCACGCCCCCCAAAAAATTAAAAAATTTAAACAATTTAAAAATTCGAGATTTTATTTCGTGACTCTACTTATCTAATTCTAGATTCCTTTTCGTAGCTTTACTTATCTCATTCTAGATTCATTTTCGTGGCTTTACTTTTCCCATTCTAGATTCCTTTGCATGGCTCTACATATCCCATTAAAGATTCCATTCCGTGGCTCTAATGATCAAATTCTAGATTACCTTTCGTGGCTCTTCTTATCTCATTCTAGATAACCTTTCGTGGCTCTATTTATCTCATTCTAGATTCCATTTCGTGGCCCTAATTATCTACTTCTAGATTACTTTTCGTGGCTCTATTTATCTCATTCTCTATCCATTTCGTAAAATCAAGTTTCTGCTCATCCTCCTCTGCGCCCACCCCCCCCCCTGTTACGTAAAATCAAGTGCCCACCTTTTCATAAATGACCAGGTCATTTTCTCTGGTTGACCGGTCCATGTCCGCCATCAGTGGGTCTCTGCGCCCACCCCCCCCCTGTTACGTAAAATCAAGTGCCCACCTTTTCATAAATGACCAGGTCATTTTCTCTGGTTGACCGGTCCATGTCCGCCATCAGTGGGTAGCCCAGGAGGACGACATCCGCCTGTTTGGTGTACACGGAGTTGGTGAACCCCTCGTACTCGGGGTGGTAGTCGAGGTCAGGGTCGTAGAGTAGGCGGAGCTTGTCGGCGATTTCAGTCCACGTGGCATTCTCAGCCTGGAAGATTCAACAACCGGATGTTCAAAAATGAAAGCGTATGTCACTTTGCCGTGTATTGGTTGTATATCTATTTATAGGAAGTTCCAAACCTTTCCGATATCCTGAACCCCCCCCCCCACACACACACCCTTTTTCCCACGATGTTGAAAACAGTGAATCTTCACATTAAAAAAAAAAAAATTACAAAGAGATCTGTAGATCTTGGAAAATAAACTTGCGACTTATTGCAAACGATTAAGTGTTACTTAATCATATGATTATAAATTTTATAAAGTATTTTTAAGGTTCATGGCTTCTCTGATTTTAATATCGATTGTCCCAACACACCCATTACAAAATAGATATGTATAATAACATGGCAAATGACATGTATACTTAACATAGCTAATGTCATGTATAAAATTACGTGGCCAATGACATATAAGATAAACTTGTCAATGAAATGTATGATTAAAATGTCAATGGCATGCCTGAGTAACATGGCCATGATACGTATGATTGACATGGCCAATGACGTATAGCGGTCATGTCCTATTTCCGGCACGAGCTCACCTTCCCAAATTCTTTGGCCATTTCATTGGCGAATCTGAGGTTAATGGCGGCGATGGTATTGGTGTAGACCGAGTCGTTGACAGGGTAATGGAACTCATCTGGCGGCATGATATCTGGGGATATGCAAACATTGGGGGCATGACATCTGGGGATATGCAGAAAACGGGGGCAC